AGGGGGGAGGGACGGGACTGATAATGAGCCAGCAGTGTGGCCAGGGGGCCAAGAAGGCCAATGGCATCCTGGCTTGTGTCAGCACTGGTGTGGCCAGCAGGGACAGGGAAGGGATCTGAGCCCTGTGCTGGGCACTGGGGAGGCCGCCCCTTGCTGAGTGGGTTCAGTTTTGGGCCCCTCACCCCAAAAAGGCCATTGAGTCACTCGAGCGTGTCCAGAGAAGGGCAACGGAGCTGGGGCAGGGTCTGGAGCACAGGTCTGCTGGGGAGCAGCTGGGGGAACTGGGGGGGTTTAGTCTGGAGAAGAGGAGGCTGAGGGGAGACCTCCTGGCCCTCTGCAACTCCCTGCCAGGAGGGGGCAGAGAGGGGGGATGAGTCTCTGGAGCCAAGGCCCCAGCGCCAGGCCCCGAGGGAATGGCCTCAAGCTGCCCAGGGCAGGGTCAGGCTGGCTCTGAGGAAGGATTTCTGTGCAGAAGGAGCTGTTGGGCGTTGGAATGGGCTGCCCAGGGCAGGGGGGGAGTCCCCGGGATCCCTGAGGGGGTTGAAGAGTCGGGCTGAGCCAGCGCTGAGGGATCTGGGGGAGTTGGGAACAGTCACGGTGAGGGTCATGGTTGGGCTGGAGGAGCTTCAAGGGCTTTTCCAACCGAGATGATTCTGTGCTAAGACTAAAGAGAGTGTTCTGATGTTAAATTTTGGCGAGAGCTTTACTTATCCCCAGCTCTTCTGGCTTTGACTTATACCTGTCTTCTGCCATTGCTATGGCACAGCAGGAGAAACTGGGAACAAATTTGGAAGAAAAATTATATTTTAAAATGACATACCATACATAAGAGAAGTTGAAAAATGTTCATAATCATCTAAAGAATCTTGTCCCATTGCATTTCTCTTTAATGGCATTACCAATGTGCCTCACCAGTGTATTAGTTCATCAAGGAAAAGCTTTAAATACAGGAGAATGCACCGAGCATCATATTGGTAAAGTAAAATTTTCTGGGCAGAAAAAATATCAAAGAAAACATCCGCTCTCATGAACTTCCTCTAAGTCAGTCTGTATAGCACAATATACAACCCAGACACATTAATGGAATTAATCTTTATGCAGGATAACACTGAAATGCATGATTATGGATTGTGATCACAGTAAGTGTATTAAATAGGCTTCATTCTTGTCTCCCTGTACCTGGGTTTACAAAACACGGATATTTTAAGTTCTTCAAAACACCATTCAAGCCCGCTCTGTTTTGTAAATATTGTGTGTTCTCGCTAATTGTACTATTAAAATGAAATCACCAGATGCAACTGAACACTAACAAAAGCTAGATCTCTGTCTTGAAGGACTGAATTTCTATGTTTAATTCCATGAATTCTAAGGGAAGATCAAGGAACTGGAAAATTCCTTATGCAAACTAATTGTCTTAATGTTATAGCTGTTTCAGGGTTATAATTTGGGAGTCCTGATTTTGATATGATCTATTTCTCACCTATATTTTTGCTTTTAGTGGCATTTCATCTTCCACAGAGGCTTCCAGTTTAGCTTTTGTAATTGTGCTGTTTACCTTTTTGAAAAGATGGACTTAATAAACAACTGAAAGATCAGAAATAGCTTTAGTTAGTGTTTTGTGACCTGCCTGTCATAGCCAGACTGCATGTGTGGGAGCCCTAGGAGTCCTAGCAACTACCCTGGATCCCACTATTTTATTGCCCTCTCTTCCCGACGCAGCGCAGCGAAGCGTGGCGCTGTGCAGGCTGGAGACGTGCCTGTGAACTTTCTTTTTAAGCGAAGGAAGACGCCGAGTCCTTTACTTTCTGGACTCGGATTGCCTAATATGGTAAGGTATGTCTTCATGGCTGCGCTGTTTTGCTGAGATACAAGGGAAAGTTGTCTAGTAAAAGGGAACACAATAGGTGAACTGCTTGCTAGCTGATAAGAAAGTAAAATCTTTTAATCTAGGTAGTACTATATGGTACTATTCATCCTGTGCCTTGTTGCTACTAGCCCAGGGTCCCTTTTGGGGGACCAGGGATGCAAGTATTTTTCCCTGGTTTTACCCTTGAATATTTACTTCTAGCATAGATGCAGTGTGATGTGGGAGGGAAGCCATCTGGCCCATGTCCAAGGTAACATAGATGGTGCTCTGCTTCACTTGCATGATTATAGTTAAATTAGAGCATTTAATTATGTATAAAGTAAGGCTGTGAGAGATTGGCTGTTTAGTCCTGTTTATAAACAAAATGCTGTAACAGGTTGTGTATCATGTGAGGAGAGGAGACCTTTAATATGTGTACAACTAGCAATGTAAAGTTGAATCTAAAATAGCAGAAAATTGGTGCAAGAGCATGCATTAATGTTTTGCCATAGAGCTTTAAATATGGTATAGTTTTATTGTGTTTAGAGTGCCTTGGGTTCTTTGGGGTGGGAAGACACTACAGAAATTTAAATTCATTCTGCAAATATTTCTACAAAAAAATTTCACACCTGCACAGATTATTTGCCTCATGAGTTCTCCAGCCTAATACGCTTGTGTTGGTTTTTCTGAACTTTAATGTTTTGACGCGCATCAGACTTGTTGTCCACTGTCACTGTTGTGGCTGCTCAGTTCCTATTTACAGCTCTGGAAAAACATATTGTTTGTGCTTAAAGCCAAGCAATCCAAGTCTGCTCTGTCGACTACAGGGTTACAGCTAAATGTGTTCAGATTAATTCCTCTAATTCACCGAGCTGCTGAATTAGTAAGATGTAATGTGAAGCAGTGTCCATGATGGAGATGAGTAACACAAAACCAGCTAAAATCTGATCTTCAAGT